GACATTTATTCAGTTTGTTATAACTATTTTACATTCGTTTGATGTTTCAAGATATTTTTTATGACATATATTTTACTGTAATTTATATCATGATTTATATTTACATTTTACTATGTAATAGTAAATAACAGTAATAAAATTATTTCCCAAATTATAAAAATACTATAGACAAAAGTAAATCTTTTAAGCAAGTGTTTAATTGAAATTTTTGATTATTAATTTGGATTATTCATCGCTAGGACAATAATATCCACTCCAAATACAACGAATAATAAACGAATCCCATTAAAAATTTTACTAAAATACAGAAGAGAATATATACAAAAATACAAAGTAACAATAACAAACATAAAACGAATAAATTGATTAGAATAAAAGGTAATAAATTAAGCAGTATACAGTATTTTCTTTTACAGATTAATTTATATTTGTGGTACTCCAGATGCATCTTGTTCTCCATTTTGTCCAGATTGATTTATGATAGCGACAGAAAAAAGAAAATCGTGTTATTAAGATGGCAGAAGGGAACGAAAAGACATGAAGACTGTCTAGACTAGGCTGTTTATTTACTTTTTTATATCTAAATTTTTGTACTTAGTTAAGGGTGCTTATGTAAGTTTTACAAATTCTTAATATATGTAAACTTGGCAAGCAATCTTCTCTAATACTGAATCTCTTCTAATTTTTTAGTCGTGTCAAAGTACTAAAATTTGAATTCGATTATTGAAATAGATACTGGTAAAGTAGAGATTGTCAAATGGTATGCAAATAGAAAAAGGAAATCAAATCAGTACGTAATTAGATTCTTTTGTAATTCCCTTGTAATTCTGATTTAATTGATAATATATTGCAATATATCAATACTTCAGTTTTTAAATTGCCAATATTCTGTATTGAAACTGCGAAATTCGTTTTATTATTCCTGTTTAAGGTAATCAAATGGACTGATTTGATTTGGACCTAATACAAAAAGACGTAGGGGAGATCGGGGCAAGATCGGCATGTTAAGCTTTACTTAAATTTTGTGTAATAAATACTGCTGTAAACTGAAAAAAAAGCTTTGCATATTGTCTATTGGAATGTTACCTTACTATAGAACTGGTTAAAATCAGTTTGGAAATAAAAATAATTAAAATAATTACAACTTTACAAGAAGAGAGAAATTGACGAAGTTGCCCCGGGTATAGGGGCAAGATCGGCAACTTCTCTCTTTTTGTAAAGTTGTAATTATTTTAATTATTTTTATTAAAGTTGCCCCTGGTATAGGGGCAACAGTAATGGGGCAAGATAGGCACGTATATAAAATTATGTTATTAACAATGTATAAGTTGGAATTCACTATTAAAACAAAGAAATACAAATCCAACACCCATTTAATATTATTACAACGAAATGCAAGTTCAAAGACATATATACATGAATAACAAATGCAAACATGTTTTCATTTATCATCTGTTTGATTTTTATCCTTTGCTTCTAATGTGGCTTTATGTTGCCGATCTTACCCCGCTAGTCATGATTTCGAAACATTAAGTACAACCCTGAGAACAGAATGCCAAGCCACGATCTGGCCACGTGAATAAGTTGAAGTTACATCCTTCTAACAGGAAAAGTAACTTTCGTTATCATGGAATTATAACAAAACCTGCCAATTCAATATAAATGGAAAAAAAATATTATATGGAATTGAACGAAAATGAAAATTTGCTTGATAATTCAACTACGCTTGTTGGAGAACAATAAAAACACTACACTCAACAAGCCACCAATAAAACTCAACTGCCTAACCTATAACCAAAGTCTCCTTTTAATTTGTTTTTAAAAAAAAGCGCTTGACAAACTTGCCCCGCATGCCGAAGTTGCCCCGATCTCCCCTATATTGTAACATATTTCAATGAAATACATTTATCTCTGATTAAACCATACAAGGAATAATAATTATATGCCGATATTAGACTATACAACTTGTGTAATTTTCAAAGTGTGAAGGGATGTATTTGACATTTGTTTGATCTTGACAATAACAGATTGATTTCAATCTTTGATGTAATAGATTGATTTATTTTCAATGTTTTAAATTTGTCAGTGATTGCAGAAAAATAAGAAGCTTAGTGTGCAATCATTTCAAAAATAGCAACACATAAAGATATCAAGTTTAACAAATTGCAAAGGTTAGATAGTTATCTCTAGTGTAGATGAATAATTTGATATTATAATCATGCTATAAGGAAAGCTATTAATCTCTGTAACAGACACTAACTGATGAATATCTTAGCAGAGTTTTCTACTTTTGTCATTGAATATTGCATAAAAGTTTATTTATATACATTTTTATGAAATTTTTAAGAACTTTAAAAAAAAATTACATTAAAACTAATGCCACACACACACACATTTTTATTTATTAATATATGAACTGATATACACTGATATACACGTTAAAATGCCTGAAATATGCATTATGCGTAAATAATATACATTAACACTTGTAGATTGAAATGCATACGTGCTTTACTTCTGTCTGCGAGCAAAGCTTACTAAGTATATTACGTCACACTTTTTCAGTGGGAAGAGATAAACATGCGACAATAGTGACACAAGGGATTTGAAAATTATGACGTAAGCAAAACACATATTAGAATAATGTTTCACGTAGGTGTACAGTCGAGTCAATTACGAATAAAATTTTAACTTTCTACCCTATCTAATCAATGATTATTGAATTTGTATGTTCCTTGGAACCAAACATAAAATTACTATTGAGAGTTTATCATACAGGAACACTCCTCTTGATGGAAAAAGTGGATCTTTATTTTGTATTTTTACAAAGGCATATCCTTTGTGAACTTTACTAAAGTTAGTTTCAGTGCAACTAGAACTTGCCTGTGATAAAGAACTTTTCTATCTATTTTAAATGTGTAGGATCCAAACTGCTGTACATATTTTTATAGCAATTCAGTATTAGTTTTTTCTGTCTGACCAATATTGTTGGTTGAACCGAACTCGAACAGAATCTTTTCTGTGCGTGCTTCATACGCGAAAGTTTGACTTTACTCATTAAAATTATCTCCCTTATATTTAATTAAACATTATACTTAGGGGAGAAGAGATAATAGTGGTCACGCAAGGAGAAATCCAAATAAAACAAATTCTAATAATCATATCTCTATTTTAATTCAATCTATAGGGATTGTAATCATCAGTCAATAATATTTCACAGAAAATAAACGCTTTGGATAATGAAAAACAATATTTTTTTCTACTTTTTTTTTTGGCTTCTAGCTATTTTTATTGTTTAATTTGATAAGCCATTTTATTTTCTTAGTCAGAAGGGTTTAGAAAACGTTGTTACTTTATTTGTTCTTGCAACGTTGAAAATGGTAGATTCGTAATCTCGTAACCGGTCCCTATAGAACTTTCATTTACCAGCTTAATGACATTCCATATAGTTTTTTCCAACTATATAGTATTTTCAAAATCAAATGAATTTAATAGGTTAAAATGGCATTTCAGGTGAAAAAATGTACTCATAGTTTATTTTATATTCACGTAATATTACAGTATAACGAATGGTTTTTAAAATAATTTACGTGTCTTCTCTCAACTACTTGAAAGAGCAAATTGCAGGAGCTTACGAGCATTCCGGAAAAAGCGTTCCAGAACTGTTTCAAAAAGTGGAAACACCGTTGAAATAAGTGTATACGTTGCGGAGGAGACTACTTTGAAGGGGACCCTGACAAGTATGTGATTTTTTTTTTTGTAATAAATAAAGTTCAGGAACTTTTTGAACAACCCTCGTATTCTTATGCTTCTTCTAAAGTAAAAGAAAACTCCCAATAATTTAGAATTATTTTTATAGCGATAAGAATAATATTAACTATATGTATTCTTGAATCCTGTGAAATATTGTTAAATAATTTTGCTTTTATTTTTTATTAAGCAGATGCAGTATCCGTATGCGATTTAATAGAAATAATAGTAACAAAATTTATTAATTGAAATTTTCTTCTTCAAAATGTCTAGGCCCCAAAGTGTGTTAATCCGACCCTGAATTGCAGTGAGGTAACGTATGACGTAAGATATACGACTCACACACACAATGTAGTTTTTCGTATATCACGTTACCGGGATTGCAAAGATTTAAATTATATTTATTCATTTAATAATAATGTTAAACATTTTAAAAATAATTTTAGTCCAATTAATTCAAAGTATTTTGAGAATTTAAAATAAAAAAGATTTCGACATCGTAACGTTTAAGGAAAAAAAACATGCACGTGCATACAAATCCAGTCCTTAATCATTATTATTAAGGATTGGATTTGTATGCACGTACATATTTCCTTACTTTATATTATTTTTATATGTCATCTGTATTATATCCACACACAAGAAGTTTATCAAGATTTAAACTAGTCTGAAAAACTAGTATATTGCACCAAAAGATTCAAAATTCAAAAACTATTACAAATCCTAGAAATTGATCCTTAATAAAGCATCCTTATTGGTATCCTACAGTAGAGGAAATTGCTCTTTTCCTGATATATCAACAGTTTCATTTGCTAACATCGTTAACTTGATTACATTGTTAACTTCATCCGCAATTTTTTTCCAGTGGTCTTTTTGATGGATTCAGTGTTCGTGTTCAGTTTAGACAGACAGACAAGCATTAAGAAAAGAGAAAATAATATCATAGATTTCTCCAAGGAATAACTATTTACATTGCTCTTAACTTACAACGTATTTAACTTTTATTATAAAACTTCAGACATTAAAATTTCCTAAGCAGTTAAGTAGGTTTAGACAATGTTGTCAAGACCACTCGAATTATAAATGGAAAGAAATTAATGAAAAATCTTTATTTTAATATTTCATAATTCTTTAAAACAGATGTGAATTTTTAGTAGGCTATAATTAATGAATTGAAACTTAATTTAATGCATTTTCTTTTGGTTTATAAAACGTCTAACACGAAATTCAAACTGTTTAATATATTTCAGATAACTGGTATCGTATTTTTGGTCGTTGGAATATGGATGAAGATTTCACTCAATCATTTTCTCGAGCTCTCTAAAGATTATAGTAGCGCTACATCGTATACATTTATAGCAACTGGTGCTGCAATCATTGTAGTGGGTAGTCTAGGATGTTGGTGTACGGTAAAGGAACAACCTATCCTACTCTATTTGGTATGTATTCCATCGGGTATTTTAAATTACTAAAAATATAAATGACTTATATAACGTCAATATAAATAAATATTTACAAAAGATGTATAACCTGCAGCATTTATTATTAATTATATTAAAATATATCAACTTTAAATGTTCGATTAAATTCAATGGCATTTTCTAATTAATAAATTTAAAAAATTAAGTTAAATGTTCATGTGACACACTGTTTATTTCTGTTTTTAACATGCATCCTTTTGGTGATCTGACTAAATTTGGTTACCTATTATGTAATGTATTATACTATACAAGAAATACAATAGACTACTTAAATAGAATATGTTAAACAGGCAATTTTTACTTGGCAGTGATGGCCAAAAAGTTTTCGAATAATTTATAAAAATTAAAAAAAATAACTTTAAAGTTGCTTTACTAAATAATAATTATAAGTTTGTCCCACCGAATTTTCATAAAATATACATAAATTTTGCTATATTTGTTGTTATTTTAAAATGTTTTTTATCGTTTTTAACGCAAAGATAATTTCTATAATATTGTATGTAATTCAGTTATCCAGTAGACTGTCAAACATGAAAAATATATTTATCATCTGTTCAATAACTCATCTAAACATGTTTATAAGTTATTGAATAGATAAGTAAAAGAAGACAAATATTATAATATCATAATTTAAGTCAAAACTTTTCAACCGCAGTTTTCTGCATTCCTGACTTTGGTATTTATTCTACAATTGGGAGCAGGAATTTCTGGATATGCATTCCGTAATCATTTGAAAGATGGATTTTACTCCGGATTGAATAATACTATTTATAATTATGGCAAGGAACAATCGCAGGGACACGATTTGGATATGCTTCAGTCTTACGTGAGTAATAAAATTTATCAATTTCTTTATTATATTCATTGTATTTTTTCATTTATAAAGTTAGACATTATTCTGTAATGAATTTAAATATCAATATTAAATCAAAATAAACAAGAATTCAATTTCTAAATAGACGAGAAAACCTCACATTTTAAGATTAAAAATGTAAAAAAGAAGTGTTTTTCAACCTTTTTCTTTTCTTTTTATCTATGGCACACTTGAACGTATAAATTTCCGCGGAAAAATCACGTAATGTAAAGCTGTTTTTTTAAACATTCTATAACCACCATATTACTTTCCACTTAAATTATTTTTGAATTAAATAAAACAGTATTGTTGTTCCTTAAGATAGTAGCAGGTTACAACAATAGTTAAATCAATAATTCTCAATTACATAAGAAAACCAATTAATTAACATTGTCTTTAAAAGTGGCATGATAAGTGCCTTTAGAAATAGAGGGACATTGGGCAGATTCTAAGTTAAAATAATTTGAGTAATTATAGATACATTTTTGATTTAAAGAAAATTTCATTTTAAATGAAATAACCCGGTATTACGCGCACATAATTTTTTTTATGAATATATATATATATATTTTACTACAGTATGTATGCGTTTATTTATTATAATAATGAATAAATGGTATAATCAATTTGAAGAGATTTTTAATTTTGACATGAAAGTTGATGTTTAATCAAAAATCACTTGCTGTTTTTTTTATTTACTTTTATTCTCCCACTTTTTTTTTACGTTTCTTTCACTTCTTCCCCGAAATACAGATGATCTACAGCAGTGGTTCTTAACCATTTTATACTCGCGGCCCACCAAATATTTCATAATTTTTTGTGACCACCATTTTTTTAAATAATAATTTATATTTGTTAAATTATTTATAATAAATTGATTTTTTATTATTGCTTTATTTTTTAAATTCCAAGCATTAATAGTTTCTTAGAATTACTTTGGAATAAAAGAAGTAAATACTGCGGTGTAAGTAGCATATTTGCATTTATTTCTTCTGTACTAACAAAGTTGTATGTAGGAAGAAATAAATAAAAAAAACTAAATACGAAAACTTTATCTTTCCTATTTCACTTTTCAATACGATATTCGGTTATACATCAATTTTCTTTTTATTATAGTCTGAAGGAAATTTTGCATAATTTGGCAGCAAACTTCTTACCGACCCCCGTTAAGAAACGCTGATCTACAGGGTTATCAAACGTCCTCTTTCCCCACGTGCCCATTTTTTGGCACCCCCACCACGCATCCGGGAGGAATTATAAGAATAAAGTGCTGACAGACGTCTTTTGTTCATTTAAAATAATCTAAACATACCATAGTTTTAACGTTCTTTTCATATTAAAAATCATATTGCAATGCTACATAATTATACTATAATTTTAAAAGTTAGAAAGCATATTTATTTATTAGACCGCCATCACAATGGACGTTAAAAAATCAACACAGCATAAATAATAATTTCGGTTCTGTGCCCTCCATATTGTTATTCTATTGAATCTTTACGAGCTTTTTTTCAAATTTTCAGCTTAAATGCTGTGGTGTTCGGAGTTACAAAGATTGGCAACAAGTTCCGTGGGCAAAGACAACTAATTTGACTGTGCCAAATAGTTGCTGTAAAGTAAAAAATTGTCATAATGGACATAACATCAAAATGAGTGACATATATCATAAAGTAAGTCTATATAATAAATTATGGTCTGATAAAAGAAGGTATATATGAAAAATTCAAATAATAATAATAATTTTCCTTTGCTTTTAAACTGGATAATATATTTTAAAAACACACATTTTTTTTTTTTTTCTTCTGTTTAGGGATGCTATGAGAAAATTGTTGACTTTGTAAACAAAAATATAAATATCATCTCCAGTGCTGCTGTTGGCCTTGCAGTTTTTCAGGTAAAGACTTAACTCTCCATAAAACAAGTTTTAAACTTATTTTTTTTGAGAGAGACACAGTTTTAAAATGATTAATTTTTAGCATAAAATTAAGATTTATTCTTATTTACCTTAAGAAAATCATTGCATATCCATGTTATTGAAAATATTTTGAATGTTTTAATGGTAAGATAAAAATACCATTTGGACAATACTTTTATTTATATTTTAGTCTGGTGTTTTCTCGTAACTTGCAAAACTTTTTAACAAAATTATTAAATTAATATTGAATGTTTTTGCTTATTCTGTCATATACTTTATATCAAAATTTATTACTAAGTCTCAACAAGTCTTCATATGACCCCGAAAAGATGAAAGCAAACTAAACAAATAAATAAATAAAAAATGCCCATTTTAATGTTCCTAAATAGGAACATGTTAACAGGTTCCAAATTATATTTTATAAACAACAGTAGTTTCAAATATGTTGGCAAATTTAATATATAATATTTTATAAATAACAAATATGACAAATTTGTTTTAAAATACCTATATATCTAAATACTGGTAGTTTAGAACTATCATATTCATTATTTTCTAAGTTCTGTTAAGAAATAAACTCTTCTGTAACTTTTATCCATTAATTCAAGTTTTAAAAACTGGTTTTATACCATTTTTCTTAATGAAATATTTGCAAGAAACTGAAGATGCTTTACACTATCTGTTAAATTTGATCATTTCATATTAGAGTTTAAAGAAACATGTATATTTTGGTTTAAATTTTTAATATTTCTGTTTTAGCACTTTTGAGCAAGAAATGCTCAGCTTTGAGAATATTACAATGAAAAGAATGCAAGTGATAGCCAATAGAACAATAATACAAAAATACATAAGTTATTTTACAGAAATATTGAAGTAATGTTATAATTATTAATACTAGATGTAAAAAATAAATATGAAGGTTTCTCCGATTGAAATGCTTATATTCTTTTATAATCAGCCGTTTCTAAATTGTTGGGTATTGGTCTGAGTTTCTGCAGATGACTAAGACACTATCTGTAAATCCAAATCAACTTAGTAGTATAATGGGATCAATGTCATACAATCCAACCTAACTTTTCTATAGCTTCATATGCACTTTCATATGATAAATCACACTGATGAAGGTTTTATACATTTTCCAACAGAGATTGCAACATTTATTCCAAAACCTTTAATTTTTTTCCTCAGTCAGTACTGATGGACATCCACTACATTTTCCTTCTATCCATAACACTACAGATTTATTGGGAAGTTCCATGTTCAGTTATTTCTGTCCAAATTCTTCAATTACTCTTGCACACTTCTCAATAAAGAATACATGCTGAATCTGGGAAAAAACATACTGCTTGCAATACTAACAATTATCTACTACAGTCCATTTCTTGAAGTCAACTACACTACACGAGTCAAAAACCACAAGTACTGCTGCCGGTTGAGAATAAAAAATTAATGGTAACTATGTTGTGTATGATAGATAACAGAGACATTTGAAGATCAAGATTGCATTGTATTAATTAAATAAATCTCTTAATCTTAATCCTTCAAGGCAATAGTCTGGAAATGGCTGCTGATAAAATAAAATATGACAATTGTTATAATTGAAGTGCTTATATTTTTTCATCTTCAGAAATCCTAAAAATGATTTATTATTTGGAGTTAATAATTTCCTAATTGACAATGATTGGTTAGCAGACAGTGGTTCCTCGTACCATGTATGCAAATAAGGAAGTTTGTTTGACATATATAGGGAGAGAGAACAAGATGATGTATATTCTGCAGAGAATAAAGAACTAAAAGTAATAGGAATAGGAAACAAGCTAACACAATAGGAAAAAGATGTGACATTATTTTGCATGATGTATATCACATTCTGAACATTAGACATAATCTATCATTGGTCTTGAAAATAGAAAGGGCAAAAGACTAATATTCAATAATAGAAAATTAAAGATACAGAATAAAACAGCTAATAAGATATTGGGAGAAGCTTATAGAAAAGATAGTTTGTATATAGTAAGGATGAAATTGTTAAGAGAAAATAACAGACTGAGTATACAACCAGCAAAAACAAATATGAGTCAGATTTGGCATCGAAGATTTTTCCATACTAAATGTAAAATTTATCTAACTACTTGCAAAGAATTGGTTAGATGATTATAAAATATAAAATTGTAGGATGTGGATTGCAAAGATTGTGGTGTCAGAAAACTAACCAAAAGTAGCTGTAAAAGATTGAATGGCAAACAATCAAATCAATAATTGAGCTTATACATTCATATGTATGTTGATTAATACCTGTAAAATCATATGGAGGTTCTCAATATATTAATATTTGTTAATGACTGATTACTCAAAAAAATAAGAGTTTATTGTTTAAAGCTAACAGCAAAATAGTCAAATTTATTAAGAAATACATAGCTAGAGTAGAAAGAGAAACAGGATATAGAGTAAAGAGATTTCATAGTAATAATGGTTTAGAATATTGCAAAGGTACAATAAAGAAAGTGTTTGAAGAAATAGGAATAAACATGAGAGAACAAACACAAGTCCACAGATGAACAGGGAATGGAAAGAATAAATAGAACACTTTTACATGCAGTTAGAGCAATGTTAAAGACAGCAAGATTACCAAGATTGGGCTGAAGCAATAGTGGAAGCAGCCTATGTTAAAAACAGAACAATGTATTCTGTAATCAATGATAATGTACCTGAATGTATTTGGTTGGTTTGCTGCCTGACCAAAGTCTAAAGATATATTGTTATCTAACATATGTGCATTTACCATCACATGGATGAAATAAGTTACAGGACAGAGTGAAAGCATGCATATTTGTAGGTTACTCCACATAAACCAAGGGCTATAGAAAGTGACAAATTTATACAATCAAAGAATGTGAAATTTATAGAAGACAAATTTGGTTATGAAGATCTTCACAGTAAGAATGAAGTAGAACATTCATTAAAATTTAATGAGTGTGATAGTGATGAAATGCCTTTTACATGAAAATAAAGTAAAAATAATGATGTCATAAATGACAATTCAATAATAAATGCAAAGGTATCAAAACCAAGAGATTATTAGGAACCCATATGGACACAAGAGAAAACCTAATAATGAAGAAATTAATCTAGCTGAAGTAAACAAACCCACTACATATCATGAAGCTGAACAATAGAAAATTGTGATGAAACAAGAAGTTAACAGCAAATAGAAGGACTTGGAAGAAAATGATGTATATCCTGACACAAAAAAAAAAAAATCATCATCAAAAGAAAATGAGTATATAGAGTTAAAACTGATCCAAATGGCCAATTCCAGCAACAATTTATTTGTTAAATATTTTTGGCAGTGCCGTCTTTAGAACATAAGGGGCCCTGGGCCAGGACCAAGATGGGGCCCCTTAAGGTAACAGAAACAATAGTATATTACATAAAGGTAAAGGAAATATGTCAATCTCAGATATTTTTTAATAAAGCAGGATTTGCTATCATGTACATTTCCTAGTATAGAGATCAGTCTTAGAATATTTTTAACTTTAATGATTACAAATTGTTCTGGTGAACGTTCATTTTCTATTTTGAAATTTATAAAAAAAATGATCATCATAATACGATGTCTCAATCGAGATTAAATAATCTTTCTATTATGAATATAGAATCAGATATAATTAATAAAGTAAATTTTGATAAATTAATTATGAATTTCACAGCAGCAAAATGTCAAAGAAAAATTTTGTAAGTTTGCTTAGTTTTAAGATCATTATTTCTCCTATATGTAGTTAAAAAAGTATTTGATATTTTTAATAATATGTTTATTTCAAACTAGCAGACCCCGCCACGCGTTGTTGTGGCTCAAAATGTATCTATTATAAATTTATAACACTTCCCCGTGGGGGGGAATTTTTCGAAAAATTTCTTCTTAGTGTACATTCTGTTGACGTACCCTATTAAAACGCAAAAAAACGCATCTAAAATAGTATAAATAGAAGCAGAGTTCTTTACGGTAAGCCTTAATCCTAACCATCTCCCTTCAGTGAGGGGAATTTTGACACGTATATTATATAAAAACACGTGCGTATTCGAATGCAGCGTTGTGTCAAAATTTCAAAGGAATCGGTAGGAACAAACGAACATTACATTTTTATTTATATAATTAGATAGAAGATGATCTGCTTTAGTTCATTTTCACAGAAAAGCAAACTTAGGGCGTCGTACTTGCAGCGCCATCTATTGGACATAAAAGCCTTAACCTAGATTATATATTTTAATTTATATGAATGTTTAACGTAATAATATACAGCCTATGTCCACCCTCAGGTTCCATTCTAAATATTGGTGAAAGAATTTTTGAAATCGGATGAGTAGCTTTGGAGATTACCTGCTGCAAGCAAACTTACATACATACATACATACATACATACTTACAAACATTACCTCTTTATAATATTAGTATAGATTACTTTTGGATTAGGGGGCCCCTACAACTGGAGGCAAAAATCAGTGCCGTCTTTAGGGCAGGGCTTGGGTCCCATAGGCCCAAGACGGCATTGATTTTTGGCTAAGACTCTAGATTGTTTCTTTACTCCAGTTTAAGAAGCATATTAACATTTTCATTTAATTTAAGTAATTTTATATGTTTTCAATTTAAACTTTAATGGATGTGTGTTTTAATAAAAGGTAATTATTACAAGCATTTTTTTTTTAATTTGCACAACATAATACACTTCTTTTTCTTCTATAAACTCAAGGATCCCTGTCAACACATTTGCAGACCTGCAGGGATCCATGGACCACACGTTGAGAAATCTATCTAATTTATCTAAATATAACAAATATATCGATATGAAAATTTCTATTATTTAACACTACACACTGAAAACATTTTCAGTGTTTCCAGATGATGGTTTCAATGATATCCAATAAGGAAAGCAGTTAAGCATCTCAGGATAGATAGATTAATGGGAGAAGGCATTGCAACACCTGGACAATCTGCCAAGGAAAGATGTGTCCCAGGAAGATTTTCTATAGGAAACTGAACACCAAATCTGATATTTAGGTGTTAGATGAATGAAGAAAATCCAGAAAAGTCCATATAACCAGCCCATTGGTAAGATGCCAACCTGTGACCAACTACCAATGTTTTAGTCACTCAACCATTGATGGGCTAAACACATAAGAAGCCAGTATTAATTATCAGGACCCATACCAAACTTGTCTGGTTTTAAAATTCCAAGCAATTTTAAAAAATATATGATTTTTAATGAAATCATTTAAATTATAATGTATGTAATTTTTTTCTATTAACTTTTTAAAATAATTTAACTTAAATAATGTAAAGGAGTGCTTTAGAAGTTATACAAAATGACCAGGTGGGAAAATAATTTCAATAATATGAAAATTTTCTTGCCAAATCTGAAATATTCCTTTTTAAAGTATTTTTTTGGTGTTCATTACTTGAAGTTCATCCTTAACTGAAATTCTTGAGCCATACAAAAATTTTTTCAGAAGTCATCATCATAAATAAATTTTGTATTTTTGAATATCAAAAAAGTCCATTAATTAATTACTGCCTATATTAAAAATAAAAATTTCTGGCACTCGCTTCAATTTTATTTCTATTATTACACCATCCTATGATGATGACATACACTTAAGTTAACATAATATTTTAGATTAAAATAATGCTTTAATTTATCAGTTTAATATTGCATGGCAAATTGTATGATAGACCTATTTAATGATTTGTATGATTTAATTTGAATTTTCCAAACTATGTAGTAGTAATTATTAATTGATTCATAAATTATGGTTTTATTTTATGTGCAATAATTTTGAGGACATTTTCGGTTCTAAAAATATTCTGCACCCCTGCTCATTAGTTGCATTGCAACACATTACTTCTTGCCGCCTGCAGACGGCTACACTTAGTCAGCCATATTGTCAGCAAACAAAATCAACAAGGCATCTATGGAGAAAAATTCCCTGACTTTCCAGGTGGTTAGAACCCTGTATATATCACATGAAGTTAAAGAAGCTAAATGGATAAATATGTTCTTTTGAATGTGTCTTGTGTAATAAAATGTGATAATAAAGTGACCATGGACTTTGCATTAAATTGGGAAGAGGCAAACAAAAAAAAATTAGATATTTCATATCATATTTTGAAAGAAAAGTACAAAGGCTTGATAAAATTAGAATACATAAAAACAAAATGTGATGCAAAAGATACATTTACTTAACCTCACTGACCATATAGTCAGCTATTTTTCATGTCTTGCAGTTTTATATTTCACTACATGCAGGTACTATCCATGTGCATGTGTTAGTGAATGTATGTGTTAATTGAAAAGTCTTGACTGTTGTCATCATTAAGATTCTTTTACGTTATTCAAAAATAAAATTAAAAAGGTCAAAGCTAAACTTTATTTAAGAAACAAAAAGTAAAAAGAAAGAATAGAGCAATTGTAGATTTATTTAAGCCAAGTTTTTCAATTTTTATAAATACTTTAAGCAATAGTTTTTCTATAAAAATTAACCTATATATTAATTACATACCTTATAAATTTTACCAATAGAACACTAGAAATATTGTTTATAAAGATTGAAAGACAATTATAGTATGATAAAATGCTTGGCAATTAATAGCAATAAAAATAATATATAGAAAAGCTAAAAATTTAATTTAAAATTGTAATATTTTTTATGAAGGATGAACAAGCCACTATAGTTAATCTGCTGAATTAGTCAATGCATCTTTAACAGTGGGTAAAATTGAATGAACGTTAATGTTTTTAACCTGTTTAATGGGGTCATTTTCAGTTGATAGATGACAGAATGCCAAAGTCAATAAGGAAGATGGGACAGAACAAAGTAAGGGATATGGACTATGACAATGGCAGTTACAAATTCATTTTTAAACAACAAGGACGGACTCCCTATCTATTAATATTGCATTAGTCTTTTGTATAAACAACCATAATTGTAGTTTATCTCCCTTTCTTTGTTTATTGTATTCCATCTTCCTTCCTAACCGATACTGGTTTTCCACTTTTCTCTCTCTTCATGTCTGACCATTAACCAGGTTAAAAATGTTATCATTCCATCAATTTCATACATTTAAACATGCATTGATTACTTCAAAAAGTTTGTAAATTATTATTATTATTATTTTAAAAGAACAAAGTTCTGTAAGTTTTGACTATTTAAACTAAGAAATCTTAAAATATTTAAATAGTAGTAGTGTATTTTCTTTTTTTTACAATAGGCTCTCAATTTAACAGACTGACTGTGGAAAGGGAAGTTCACTATTGCCAAAAGTCTGTTAAATAATTTTTAACAATTGTTTAAAATTTTGCTATTCATTTTAAATCAAATTGTTTTTATAGAAATAAGAAACTGTCATAATAAGTCATAATTTCATTGATAATTCCACTAAGTTGCTTTTTCAATAATGAATTTATATTAGGGTAGTTAGTTAATGTTATTTAACAAATGGAATAAAAAGAATATAGATGAATCTTAATGCATGAAAAGATCTAAATAATTACTAAATAAGAAACTATATTAGATGGTTAAAAATAACTATCAAAAGTATTTATGAATAAAGCAATCATCATTACACATTACAGCATTTATTCCATAATTGTGATATGCCACTGAAAAAAACATGGCAATCTTCTCAAAGAACTGACCAGATAAAATGGTTAGGACTGCAATTCAGATTAATGTTCTTCAATAGCTTAGTCAAATGCTCTACATCATCCAACTTTAGTTGATATAAATTAATTATTTCATTCATTTACTAAATGAGCATTAAGAATAAACATGTGAAAGCACTTAAACACTATAGGTTTTTGAGCTTGTGTTATTATAGCTTGAAAATAATATATGTTAATGGATATAAGTTTGTGGATTGTTTTTCCAATTGGCACATTAATGTTTTGATTATTAATGTGAAAAACATAAAAGGAGATTATTATTATTATTTACAGACATTATTTACTATGTAAATGATGCACAAAAAATAATTTGATGTATAAATGAAAATACTGATATTTATAAAAATCAGTAAAGAAGGATATCTTCTTGTGGTAGCTTTTTTTTTAAAAAGAAGTTTTAAAGATTTTTAACTTTTACCTTATTGAAAACACTGACTTAATCATAAATAATTTTTTTAGCTCCTGGGAGCAATTTTGTCTTGCTGCCTTGCCAAGCATATCAATAAATCAAAATATGAACAAATGGCATAACTAAAATAGTAACAAAGGTAAGATAAATCTTCTAATTTAATAAATTAAAGTTGTAATTAATAAATCTACTAATACAATGAATTATTTTGTAATTTAGATTCCAGTTTTGTTCTTCACAAATTCCGTCATAAATGATTACTCTGCCTTACTACTTGGCCTTTTAATTTATCAATGTGGAAGTTACTACTATATTACGTATACTAATTGTAACATTATATTGTTTTTTATATCTTTAAATGTCATATACCTACATAACGTATATATATATATACACACACACACATAAAAGTTTGTTGTTCTTGTTATAGCTGTTTATTGAAACTTCAAAATTCCTATATAAAGAGTAAATTATTGCTTATATTAAAAAACTACAATAAATATTTTTGCCTTTTTTCATTGTTGTCAAGTCAAAAATTTTGAAAATGAAATGTTTAAGATAAATATTTTATTATGTAATTTACATTGGTAATTATATTTATGAAATATAAAATTTGCAAAATGTGTTCAAGCTTTAAAAATTCAAGAAAAATCTTTAAATGATATTCATATATTTAATATGAATTTTTATTGATCTGATGTAAAATATTTTGTTGTTGTAATGTGTAAATTTAATAAATGGATTATTAAAACAATAGTTCTGTATGATCAAGCAAAAGATAATTCACAAGTATTTAATTATTGGAACTAAAACTTTTGAAGGTTAGAATCGTCTAATAAAAACAAAAATGTATTAAACATATGCAAAAAATCATAATTATATTTACACTGATTTTTTAATTTTGTAGCAGTAATAATGATTTAAAAACTTCTAGTGTACTATATTAACCTGATAAATTCATTGGTTAAATAAATAAATACATACATATACTAGTCAAGATGAAAAAGTAAAGAAAATTACTACTACTTTGTGCAACAAATTTAACTTAAAAATATTCAAAGAAATGACTTACAAACCTCTTTAAAAATATTACAGTGATTACTAAATCAAGCCATTCTTCAGTTCTATAAATTTCTTGTAGTTCACTTTGACACATGTTGCAAATCCATAAATATCATTTTTGAGCATTTATTATAATTTCTCAATATATTATTTACATCCTGTCATTTTTTCATTGACTATTAAGTAGACTAGCAGATATATGTTAAAACTATTATAATCTTAAAAATAAAAACAAAATGAACAGTGTCCACATAAACAATGAACTTCCCAGAAAATTCTGAAATTTACCACTAGAGCAGTGATTCTTGATGTTTTTAAACTTACATCATCTTAACTTTACAAAATGTTGGCACTTCTGTATTTATACAAGAGGAGAGAATAGAATTAAATTTAAATGCTCGTATTCTTCTTAATTAAGGAGAATAGCTGCAAAGTCTCTCTCAAAATCACTATTTCCTGACTTTTTATTTTATACCTTTATACAAATAAAAATCTTCCATCCATGAAGACATTTTTCCACATTATAAACCAAACAATTTTTATATACTTGTACATAAACATCAACTTATAAACCAGATTTTTAGATAAAACCAAATGACTGTCAATTTATTTAGTATTTAAACAAATTATTATTAATGATACAAGATTCTTTTGGGAGGAATCTATGACACCTTTTGAAAATTTCAATCCAAGAGTGTCGTAATGGGACAGAACAAAGTAAGGGATATGGACTATGACAATGGCAGTTACAAATTCATTTTTAAACAACAAGGACGGACTCCCTATCTATTAATATTGCATTAGTCTTTTGTATAAACAACCATAATTGTAGTTTATCTCCCTTTCTTTGTTTATTGTATTCCATCTTCCTTCCTAACCGATACTGGTTTTCCACTTTTCTCTCTTCATGTCTGACCATTAACCAGGTTAAAAATGTTATCATTCCATCAATTTCATACATTTAAACATGCATTGATTACTTCAAAAAGTTTGTAAATTATTATTATTATTATTTTAAAAGAACAAAGTTCTATTAAATTAAATAAAATTTTTAATGTAAGTTTTGACTATTTAAACTAAGAAATCTTAAAATATTTAAATAGAAGTAGTGTATTTTCTTTTTATTACAATAGGCTCTCAATTTAACAGACTGACTNGCCGTCATCAATTAATAAAACTATAATATTTAATAGTAACAGGAATTTTCTAAATGATATAATCAGAAAGGACTGATGAATAGTTGAAATATTTACAAATTAATTTACAATGTAAGGTAAAAGTGGGAAGAATCATAAAAATAGCTGCAATAAATTTTCATTAATGATAAATTTAAAACATCTATCATTAGCAGAAAAGAACTTTTTACTAAAAGTATCAAAATCAATAAATAAATTCTTTCGAAACCATTTTTAAAGTTGCCTCTATTACTTATCAATGCATTAATGATCCATCACAGCAGCTTATATACTAACTTGCAATTCTTGTTTTCATTATTACACCATAAAAATGCACTTTTATCAAATGGTGCATTTTCTGTAAATGAAAGATGTCTATTGACAAATATTTTTCCAGCACCATTAAATTGCCATTTTTTTTCTTTGATAAAGATATTTATATACAATAGACTGTATTAACATGCAGACAAACAATTAAGATAAGCAGTCTCTCTTAAATCAGTTCTGAAGCTGAGTATTTATACCACATGATGGAGATAATAGTTGTGCATGAACTAGTAGCTGAATATGCAGTTACTACAATTATCACTAACATTTCACACTACTCATGGTCTTTGAAAAGGCTTTACTAGATACAATTTCTCTCCTCTAGGACTGGTGTAAATAGGAGCTCTTTTATAATGTTCAACCAGTTCATCCAATGTGTTAAACCTGCGCTGCCCAATACAGAATACTCCATCTTCAACATGAACGCGGAAATGCTTGTTTTTTGTAGTAGCTTTTAATGACACAGAATAATCTCCAACCTGAAAGTAACAAAATTTTAAAAATACAGTTTCTTATTTTCTCAATTTTTTTATAAATAATTATTATAACTGCATTTATATAATTTGCTTGTTTAATTTCTTTTATACAAGTAAATTCATATAATATTACTATGTATTTAATAATGGTAGAACTTTAATACTTACATTAGTTTCACTATCACGAACAACAAAATCTCCATCTTCTGCCAATTCAGTAAGCATTTGATCACACTGACTGCGAGTTATATTTCCATAATACCATGTCTTACCACTAAGATCAGGTTTGGTAATATTTCCAGTACCCATCTTTAATTTCACCATAGGTGAGCTACTGCTGGCACCTAATGATAAGTTAGCTAAATCTTTCTGTAGACTATTTAAATCTGCCCTATCAGAAAAATTACATTTTCCAAACCCTTTCTTAGAGGAATTTGAACCTGAAGATTCTGTTCCGTCGATATCCCGTGTTATAACCTGAACATAATTCTTTGGTATTAGGCCTATTTCACCCATATGATTGCGTGCTTTCCACCAATCTGGATCATTGGCAGGCCGATCGATGATCTCTAAATGTTCACTTTTTTGGAAACTCAGTTCTTCTTCATTTTGGGATGTAAATGAATATAATGCTACTACCACATCTAGACAATAGCTGCCCTGCAACGTGCTACAAGCAGAATCTGCTGGTGTATAATTGTGACTACCTTCATTTAAATCATCTTGTTCTTCCTGAACATAATTAGATGGAAACCATCCAATACAACCATTATATTCACCTTTCCACCATCCATCACTAGATTTCTCCATTACTAAAACCTTAGTTCCTTTCACTAATGAAACTTCATCTGACTGCTGAGCATCATAATTATATTTTACAAGTGCTGCTACATGTGAATAACTGTGATTTTTAGGAGAAGTATTATTTGGAGAATTGACATTAACATCAACTTCTTTTGTAGTAACAGGAGAGGCAGTGGGCGACATCTTGACTTCATTTTTCTTTTTTACTTTCCTTCTTATACTATCAAATATAGAAGGTTTTTCCCGCTTCACATAGTTGGAGGGTACAAATCCAGACTGATTTTTAGAATTTTGGACCTTCCACCAATGCTTACTGTCATCAAGTAGTACTAATCTTTCACTTTTACGTATATCCAATTCTTGACTGCCTTGGGCTGAATAATCATATTTTGCAATAACGTAAATTTCTTCACCACTTTTCCCTACATAAAAATTTAAAAAAATTAATGAAAACATATATTAAACATCTTAATAGTTGGAAATTATTATTAATATATCAGTACACCAAACCAGTTAAACAAACACCAAAAATATTTAATCAACTTCAAGGAATTGGGCAATTGTCAATGGTGTGGAGAACATGGTTTGAACTATATGTGTGCGCTCAAGTTTATTAATCAAAATAAGAATAATTTGATTCAAGTTTATTAACCAAAGTATTCTTATTCTGATTAATAAACTTATTAATTATGTAACTTTTATTCACTTATTTCTATGATATGTAGAGTTGAACCTAAAGTTTGTTCAGTTTTAGAGAGAAATAAAATATACTATTTTGGAATAAATAAAAACCTTTAATCCACAATGTATTCACCCTTCTGTTCAATAATGTTATGCCATCTGATGGGTAGTTTCATAATTCCATCTGTGTAGAATTTGATGGGCTTCTGATTGAGAAATTATCAATGTGACTTTTGATACTTTCTAAAGATTGAAATTCTATATCATTTAAATTATTCTGCAATGAATGAAAAAAATGATAATCTGAGGGAGCCAATATCCAGAGAATATGCAGGGTGACAAAACATTCCAGACAAAGTCTAGAAGTTTTTGGCACATGTTCAATGATATGTGTGGCCTTGCATTATTATGATGGAATACCACTCCCCATCAATTTGCAAGTTCTGGATATTTTTCAAACACTGCAGCCTTCAGTTCATCCAGTTGGAGACAATATTTATTGGAATTAATTGTTTTCTTGCTAAATAAAAGCTCATAATAAACAACCCTTTTCCAATCCCACCAAACTGAAATCATTACTTTTCTGGGATGCAAACCAGTGTTACTGAAGGATCACTTACTCCAAGATCTCTTGCATTAAATATTGTTGTAAACAATCCATTTTTCATCACCTGTTATTAATTGCTTTAAAAATGGATCATCTTCATTGCATTTTAAAAGTGAATCACAAACAGAAACATGCTCAATAAGGTTTCATTCAATTAACTGATGGGGAACCAATCATCATAAAGGAAAGTGTATCTGAGGCTAGTTAAATATCTGACAACAGATGTTTGAGATATTTTAAAGGTGTCTGCTATCTCTTGTGTTATCCTATGCTGATCATTTTGGATTAAAGCCACTACGGATTCATCTATGGATGAGAGCCATCATGACCAAGGGACATCCTCAAGAGAAAAATCTCCTGTCCTAAATTTTGTATACCATTTCTAGCATGTTTGATCAGTAACTACATTATTGAATTCAAGGGTTGGATTTCATGCTGATCTTTGGCTAAACAAGAAAACATATTATCACATAGGTGTTAATTACGTATAAATATCACTATATTTGCAAGTGCTTTCGACTGCTATAAAATGTTGTCCTCAGGCAGACACAATCTCAAATAAAATTTTTTCGAACAAAGATTTTTAATTAAAACTAACAGTATTAGTTTTTTAGAACTGGAGACGATGTTTTAATCTTTTATACAAGCTGACCCACACAGCAGGCAACTCAAGCATGGGGAGTTGCACGGATTTAGTAAAATGGTAAGGAGGGCCTCCCAAACACACACCAGGTTCCTCTGATTGCAATACCTGAGCATCACCACACGGTGCCATAGCAGGGTGTGTTGGTGTTGTAACAACATCCTTGCTAGCTCAGTGTCACACCTGCCTGCCCTGATGGAATGTTGGTGTTCGGAGATACAGCAAGATAACATTCTGGTTGTCACTCCTATGTAGTGGGTGTGAATACGAAATATTGTGTTTTCCAATGGGAGAGTATATCCCAGACCTCTAGTATGGAAGTAGCATCCCTGTCATTGCATAGCAGCCTCCTGAGATTTGGTCACAGAGTGACTGGCAGAAATAGCGCATTGTCTAAAAGTATGGCAAATGCAGGCAGTGATGTGGCCACAGAACGGTAATGAGGGACGGACAATTGTGCATTCCTTTGGGATGTGTAAAGTGGTGGCGGGAAAGAGAGATCTTTTAACTTTGTTCAGGATATATTTGGAATTAGTATAACCTGCCGCTTTTACTGCTGAGCGAATGGCAGTAAGTTCAACATTGATAGTGGTTTGTGTGGAAGGCAACAGAAAGAACCTTCTAATTAAAGGGGCTATAGCTGTATTGATGTAGTGCTGCAGATAGTATGCTGTGGCAGAGATTAAAGGGGATATGTTGTTAAATTTATGGAACACGGAGTATATTATAACTCCAGTAACTACTTTCAGTAACTGGATCCTTCCCATATACAGCACTTTCTTTCAAGTTTTTGTTGCATTTTTTCCTTTTCGGGAATAATAGAACATGAAATGTTGAAAATGCACCTTCTTATCTTCCATTTTAATGTGTTTTTTTTTTCTTAAAAGATAATGGAATTTTAAAAAATAACTGTAACTAGACTTCTGTATTAAATATGCAAATATATGTAATGCCCACCTAAACAAGTTAAAACTTGATAAACAGAACAGAGGCAACACAAATAAGCAATTATGTAAATACCTGAACAAACTTTCATTTCAACCCTATACATTCTCTTTGTAAGGCATGTGACCAAACCTTGGCTGTTTAAAAATTCAAATTTGGTGTTCTGCTCTTTAATAGGTTATATATTGTACATGTCCAATTTATACAAACAAAAACACACACTATATTAAATATTGTTGGGAATACTGGTGTGTTTTTATTAAATGAAAATATTTATATTTATAATTTTTAACATTTAAAAACATAACAGTAAATAATTACAATAATTTTTAATGTATTTGGAAGATAAAATATATATAACAACTTAGACATTTTATTTGAATCATTTTTAAATAACTTTAAAATCTCTTTCAAACTTTTATAACACTAGGAAAATAAACTATTCTTACACACCAGAGGAAAATATACTTTCACACAAAAACCTTCGTAACTCCAGTGATACTTGCTTCATACATCAGCGAACGTTTTCGACCCCATCCGGGTCTTCATCAGGCTATGTTTATGAGGAATTCGAATGTGTATGGAACAGAACATTAAAACGAACTTTAAGCGATTCAAAATTTCGAAAAACAAACTTAAGAATAAACACGGAAAGTTGNTCACCAGGACTAAGATAGCGTACAGTAGGCCTAGATCCGTTTACAACTTGCTTCGCAACGGAAAAGATGCAATTGACTTGAAACACGCACCGGGGGTGTATACCGTCCCCATGTGGGATGACAGATTTAACAACCGTTTGGTTTATGTGGGATCAACCAAACGCTCCCTTCACAAACGGCTTCGGGAGCATAAATACGATATTGACAATAAAAAACACACCACCGCCCTATCAAGGGTTGCCACGGAACCGGGAATCACGGCTGACTTACAAAGGGCCCGTATGATCAGGATCTCTCATCGTACGGATCAACTGAGGGCCATGGAGACTCTGGAAATATATAAAGCAGGTTTACGCGGCACGTGTATTAATTCCAGGGATGCAGTCGGGATATCGGGCGCGTGGAAGTTTTGTTATGAGGGAAACCACCCCCGTAACTGATTTGTTGTGTTTCCTACTTTGGTTGTGTTCACCGTTTCGCAAATGAGTGGTTGCGCGTGCGCAACTTTCCGTGTTTATTCTTAAGTTTGTTTTTCGAAATTTTGAATCGCTTAAAGTTCGTTTTAATGTTCTGTTCCCTACACATTCGAATTCCTCATAAACATAGCCTGATGAAGACCCGGATGGGGTCGAAAACGTTCGCTGATGTATGAAGCAAGTATCACTGGAGTTACGAAGGTTTTTGTGTGAAAGTATATTTTCCTCTGGTGTGTAAGAATAGTTTATTTTCTTATGTAACAAGCTATGCCGGCTAATTCGTACAAGAAGTTGGTGTTAGCCCTAACTAGGGCTAAGACTAAACTGGAATTTCTTCTGGAGTGTAGGAACAAAAAGGTATTCCCTATGTCTATTTATCGGATTCGACTTCCGAGTGGATGCGATTCTCTACTGCCGAAGCTACGTGCATTATGCTTAAGGAAAGCGATACGATCGGTCCGAAGAACGGTGTTCTCTAAACTCAATAACTTGATTAACCTGGAGAATCTGCTACATCAGGAAAATCCTGCTATCTTACAAGAACTCAACAGGAGGGTGGCCGTCTACCAGGAAATTCTTCAAAAAGGCCTTTACGAACGATATCATAAAAAACTGGAGTGGATCTTGGGTAAACAGAGGCCCAATGTACCTTTACATAAATTCTCGTTGTTATGTTGGGACAACATTTCCCCTCCAACGTATCTCGTCCGTGCGCTGGAGCATGGCCCCATGTATGCCCCTGGGGAATGTGTCATACAACCGGAAAAAGTAATGCCCGACGTGGAACATCTCATCACAGGGTTGCCGGACGTCCACAAAGAATATTACAGGTGGAAGACTACTATCAAGATTTGCGAAACCAACAATCGGAAGCGTCGTGACCGGTTCTGGAATCTAATACGTAAATCTAAGAAATGGTTATCTGAGCAAAACATTGTGGTCATCAGAGCGGACAAAACCAAGTCTCTGGTCTTAATGAAGAAAAACACGTATGTTTCTATGATGCAAGGATACATCAAGGACACTGACTGTGAAGAAACTGATGATGGATACGTCAATAGGTTACAGGCACGCATAAAACGGTTCACACAAACAAGGTTTGCTAGAGAATGGGGGTTCAATAGGGCAGTGGTGGCGTCTCCCGACACACCTAGGCTTTTCGCCTTTGCCAAAACCCATAAAGATCCACCGGCTCTTAGGCCGGTCCTTGATAAGGCTAGATCGCCTACTAGGGCATTAGAAACTGCGATACACAAACACATACGAGACAGGATAAACAATTATCCGTGGGCTATCAAGAACACGGTCGAGCTCATTGAAACCTTGAGGAATATTAGCATAACCAACTCTACTTGTATCACGGTTCTTGATTTTGTTTCTTTATATCCGTCGATCAAAATCCAGCCGTGCTTCTGCGGGTTCCGGGATTTATTACTCACCTACACCGGCGCTTCCGCGCATCGAAAACACATCTTGGAGTTAGCGCACATATTGTGTTACTCGTCCTTCTTCTGTTTTAATAACAAAATTTACCTCCAAAAGCGGGGCGTCCCCATGGGGAGCCCTCTCTCGGGCGATTTATGTGAGCTGGTGATCAGGAGACTGGAACATCAAATCATCCCCGTGTATATTTCCAACATCCTCCTGTACAGGAGATATGTTGATGATATTATTATCATTTGGAAAACACACACACAACAACTCTTTTATTTACGTAATGCCGAAGTATTACATGTCTGGCACCGCTTTGCATAGCCAGTTAAATTAACATAGAAAAACATTAAATAATTGAAATTACAATTACAGTACATATATTATTTTTACAGTATTTTTACAATATCTTACAATATATGTAAGCATGTCTTCCGTGGCAGTTTTTTTTTTTTTTTTTTTTTTTTTTTTTTTTTTTTTTTTTTTTTTTTTTTTTTTTTTTTTTTTTTTTTTTTTTTTTTTTTTTTTTTTTTTTTTTTTTTTTTTTTTTTTTTTTTTTTTTTTTTTTTTTTTTTTTTTTTTTTTTTTTTTTTTTTTTTTTTTTTTTTTTTTTTTTTTTTTTTTTTTTTTTTTTTTTTTTTTTTTTTTTTTTTTTTTTTTTTTTTTTTTTTTTTTTTTTTTTTTTTTTTTTTTTTTTTTTTTTTTTTTTTTTTTTTTTTTTTTTTTTTTTTTTTTTTTTTTTTTTTTTTTTTTTTTTTTTTTTTTTTTTTTTTTTTTTTTTTTTTTTTTTTTTTTTTTTTTTTTTTTTTTTTTTTTTTTTTTTTTTTTTTTTTTTTTTTTTTTTTTTTTTTTTTTTTTTTTTTTTTTTTTTTTTTTTTTTTTTTTTTTTTTTTTTTTTTTTTTTTTTTTTTTTTTTTTTTTTTTTTTTTTTTTTTTTTTTTTTTTTTTTTTTTTTTTTTTTTTTTTTTTTTTTTTTTTTTTTTTTTTTTTTTTTTTTTTTTTTTTTTTTTTTTTTTTTTTTTTTTTTTTTTTTTTTTTTTTTTTTTTTTTTTTTTTTTTTTTTTTTTTTTTTTTTTTTTTTTTTTTTTTTTTTTTTTTTTTTTTTTTTTTTTTTTTTTTTTTTTTTTTTTTTTTTTTTTTNAACCACCCCCGTAACTGATTTGTTGTGTTTCCTACTTTGGTTGTGTTCACCGTTTCGCAAATGAGTGGTTGCGCGTGCGCAACTTTCCGTGTTTATTCTTAAGTTTGTTTTTCGAAATTTTGAATCGCTTAAAGTTCGTTTTAATGTTCTGTTCCATACATATTCGAATTCCTCATAAACATAGCCTGATGAAGACCCGGATGGGGTCGAAAACGTTCGCTGATGTATGAAGCAAGTATCACTGGAGTTACGAAGGTTTTTGTGTGAAAGTATATTTTATAACACTGTTTAAAGACTAAGAATAAAGCAATTCAAATAAAAATACTTTGTTCCAACTATACTTTCATAAAACCTTATCTTGTCTGGTAATGCAATAAAACTTGACACCAAAATACATTAAATTAATCCAAGAAACTGCTTTTTGGGGTTATTAAATACTATATTCAGTATGAAACATTTGTACCCTCTTCAGACCATCTGCAGCATCAGAAAATTATGAAAATTTTAAATGACAATTTCCAAAAGCTGGAACTTACATCTATGTTCAAGAAAAGGTTAATCCAAGTACTTTTCCAGAAGTAGAGTAGATGATTTACAAATGTTTTCAACTATGTTCACTAGTCAGCTTCAGATCTAACTGGAACTTCTTATTAAAAAAAATGGAATGACTTGTTCTAAAATGTATTGGAATCTTTTTAAATTATGTAATTGCCTTAATATGTTCCAAAATTAAAATCAAAAATCACTATTGGTCGACACCAATTTCTTAGTGAGGTCTATAAAATTATATAGCTTTTATATTTTGGCTTTATTCTCCCCACTTATCATAAAATATTTGCAATGCAGATGACATCTCACAATCTTTTGCATTGACACAATTTCTGTCTTTGGATGCTTTATAAGTCTTCAGGATTACTACAATTCTGGTATGTTTTTCATCAAAGACTGATTACTTTAGTTTCCTCTAGGTTCACTGTCACTTCAGACTTTGTGGCTTAAAAGACTAATGTCATGACTTGTTTGTTGTGTTTGATATTATATCTATGATCTTTTAATCACACCTAAAAGTGATTGGCTTGTGGTTCCTATGCATACTATTGTACGTTTAAAGCTATTATCATAGATGTGGACACATTAAATGCCTGTATTCTTTGGATATCTAACTGATCTTTATTGTGCTGTAATAATCTATTTACTGACTAATCACATTTGTAACTAATGCTTACCCACAAATATTTGTCAATTTCCCTAAAAATGAATCTCAGTAGAGGGTAGTAGTCTACTACCAGGGCCATTGCTAGCAACCACAGGGCCCTGGTCAATTTTGAAATGTGGAGCCCCTTCAAAAATACACATTATATAATTTCTACAACAGTTTTATTTTTAAAAAATAAATTTAAAACAAAGATATTTCTTTAATCTAGATATACAAAAAATACAATAATAAAACTACACTAGGTCAAATTTTAAGTAGTAAGTGACCCACTGGGTCACTTACTACTTAAAATTTACATAAGTTAGAAGACACTAATACATAACAGTACCATTTTATGGATACATACATCCATGGAAATAAACCTCAAACTCCAAACTGGGTCACATGGGGCAAGGTGAGAGCTGACACGGTAACTCATTGCTTAGAGAGCCTTTTTGAAATATACATGAAGTGACATTATATGAACTCACAGATTATGCATTAGGGATAAAATAAACACTTGTCCTCGTATATTATTATTTGTACTTGGCGTTTTATTTTTATTTGTTTTGATGCATGTCTTTATATTTTCATTTATTCTTCAAAGGTTTGGCAATTGACATTCAAAATATTTATTTTAGAATGTTTTTAAAATTTTCGTTCTATTCAAATACAACTGACATTCAATTTGTATTTTTTCCTGAGGAAGATCAGCAAAATATGACTGTGTATTGGTCACAGGCTTAGAAGTGTATAAAGGATGGACAGAGGGTCGTTCTATTTTATATATTAAATAATAAATTTTAAATAATTAGAACTTGCATTATCTATCAATAATTTGCACAGAAACCTTGGTACTTACTCCAGCACTTGATTTTGTGCAAATGTTTTTGCCTTGTTCAGGGCCTTCCTTGGGTAGTATGGCCATTTTGTCAAATCTGACATATACAAAATAAAAAGTGTTCTATGGAAACATTCTGTCAGCAGAGTGACGTAAATTTAAAAAGAATGTAATCAGTAACTTTAAAAAGTGATGTCACATGGAATGACATTGTCAGCAGGAAAAAAAAAAAAATGACAAAAACCCAGTAATCTGTCCCTCAGTTTTAATCAAACTTGTTTCATTTTGTTTCAGATATGGGATTCTTAAAAATGTGGCAGTATTTTTCACCATTTTTTTCTGTATTTAATTACAACCAACCAACTAATTTCAGTGTTTTAGTAGTGTATAGATTGTAATTTTTAAATTATATAATGTATCTAAGTTGTAAAAAATTCAGAAATAAAATTTAGGAAAAATATTACTAAAAAATAATTATATCACAAAAATTATTCTACATGCTCTGATTTCAGTAAAATCCTTAATTATATTGTCAAAATCTAATTTTTCACATATTTTGTGTTCTAATTACAACAGTTAGATTTGAGAAGAAATCATGCAGTTTTAACAGCATATTTATACATTGTAACGAAGCCACATTAGTTATATCATTGCAGCACATGGCATAAAATGTTTTAGTTTCATTATATAAATCACCATCATTTATACCCCAATTATCACTATTCCTCACTGCTAACATCTAAATCCATACAATGCTTCTTAAGATCATCCTTGTTCATTGCTTTCTAATATAGCAATATTGTAAAGGAAACCATAAATGGCAATGTATTCTTCCATTTATTTAATCTTTCTTCTACAAAGATTATTCCTCCATCTTCTATTGCAAAAAAAAATTCTTTCAGGAGTATTTATACTGTACATTTATTCATTTCTTTATAATCAAATAAATGTTTTTGTTTTCTTGATTTGGCTTCTTTAAATACTAGAGGAATGTTGCATTTTGCACAAATTTCATTTCCTACTAATTTTGATTTTAAGAAACCAATAATATTCTTTAATAGTGATGTTACTAAACTTATCTATAATAAATAAGTAAAAGGTGTGCAAAAAAATTAACAATTTGCACACTAACTTATATTATTAATATTATTAAATACTTTAATGTTAAGTTCTTTTAAAATTATTGCCATTTTCTCTGCTATAAATGCCTAAATATGGTACAGAGATTATTGCAGTTCAATGTATTTCCTAAGGAGCAATATGCCCAAATTACTGTAAAAAGGCAGGATAGTGTTAAAAAATAAATAAATAAATAAATAAATTCCTTAAGAGCAGAGCGCTGGGAAAGTGTCCCACTTGCCTGGCACTAATGGCAGTACTGTCCACTATTACATGCTTAATTGAAGATTAAGCTGTGTTTTCCATACTGTTCCCTTGGCCCTGTATTTTACAGTAATATATATATTTGCTAGTTTCTGAACAAGTTTTTTGGAATACCCATGAGCTATTGCTATACCTTTTAAGTGTCTAGGAGTCATTTATGTTAGAACAATGTGTGAATGCTCTCTTGACTAACAGTCTAAAGGCTGCTACTTTATATGTTTTAGAACATCAAGGCATTCAATTTTTTAAAAATAAGACCTGAAGCAGACCAGTGAAGAAGTCAAAAATTTTCATAAATCATCTACTCCACTGCTGGAAAAATATGTAGAACTTAGATTGACTTTTTTAAACATCAATGAAAATTTTCATATTTCCTTTATTTTTAAATATTATTAAAATTTATTTTGTATATTTCTATATTTTAGAGATATGAAAAATACCTATTCTGTTTCAAATAATCTGCAGGATTTTCTATTGGGCTATATTAATTAAGGAAAATTAATAATCAGGTATGAAAAAACTCAAATTTTAAATTGCTATTTTATAGGAAATAACACATCAAAACAAAACAGATCAAACTCAAGATAATATATAAAATAGAGTTACTTTCAACATTTATAAAGATGAACACAACTAAATTAATATTACATTAAATATTATACTTTATCAAATAAGTGTGTATGATAAGATGTGACAATCTTAACAATTAAGAAAGAATCAATTAATAAATATTTACAGTGAATCTACATTACAAAATCTGAATGAGATTTTATTTTTAATCTATACAACAGTAGAATGCACTCATTGTTATCACTTTGTGGCTCACCTAAACTAATAATAATAACCAACACTAACTAAACAAGGTAAGTAAATAAGACAATAATTCTGGTTTGATCAAATCTGATATTAAAAAAACATGTTAATAAATCTTCAAGTTATTCATTTTTTAATTATAGTCTTTATTATTAATGTTGTTATAGTCATTTTATATACAATTTTTTTTATTAAATAATTGAAATATAAACACATGTAATCCTGATAGTCATATTAAAACCAAATGATTGCCAGATTAGATCAGGTTATAATTTACAGCTACTATTAATAATTAAACGCTAAGTAATTTGATCTAGAGGTAGGTGTTAGGTGCCATCTCTTGACAAATTTAATGATTATAATTAAATTAATATTTTAATAATTAATTTTGAAGGTTCCAGAAAAACGAATTGGACTAGAGCGGAATTCGAATCTGCAACTGTCTCTTACCATGTATAATAGATGCATTGGCAGTTACGCCACCCAGACCTCTGTCCAATCTTCATTTTCAGAACTATTAATTTAGATATAACCATATCAAATACATAGCATAACTAGCAGCACAGTAAGCAGCAGTTGCAGGTTCAAGTTCTGGGCTGATTCTTTTCTTCCAGAACCTTCTAAATTAATGTAAAAATATTAATTTAAGTATAATTATTAAATTTAATGAGATGACACCTAATTTCTACCTATAGGCTAAATTACTTAGCATTTAATTATTAATAATAGCTGTAATATAGCCCAATATAATCTGGAAGAAGTTTGGCTTAATTGAATTGAATTAAGTAAATAAAGTGAATTAGTAATGGTGTGATTGTTAGTTTTAATTTGAAAAACTGGCAGAAAGTAATGCTGATGTGTACAAAACAAAATATTGCACAGTCAAGCTAGGAGTATCATTTTATATGTATAAAATTATTTTGTCATTAAAATTCACTTTATAGTAATGAGTTTACAGTTTATTACAATGATAATTATCACACTACTATGCATATGTAGCTAGAACTATTTCTAAGATTATCAGCACAAAAAACCTTTCTCACTAATTTCTAGCCTTATTAACTGGAGTACAAACGTTTTCGGCCTTCTTAATAGGCCTTCCTCGGGTACACTGTGGAGCGTCGGTTAGAAGAAGTTTAAATGCTGCCAATGTTTACCCAGGTATCGTCTTACCAGTGACGTCATCGTCGATGATAGGTATACGATACCGAGGGCGAAAAATACATGCTTTTGGTAAAGAAGGGAGGTGTGCAGATAGGATACTTGCTAAAGTTGGGAGTTAAAGTTTATACTTGCTAAGATACTTGCTAAATCTTTTTCCCCAACTTTAGCAAGTATCCTATCTGCACACCTCCCTTCTTTACCAAAAGCATGTATTTTTCGCCCTCGGTATCGTATACCTATCATCGACGATGACGTCACTGGTAAGACGATACCTGGGTAAACATTGGCAGCATTTAAACTTCTTCTAACCGACGCTCCACAGTGTACCCGAGGAAGGCCTATTAAGAAGGCCGAAAACGTTTGTACTCCAGTTAATAAGGCTAGAAATTAGTGAGAAAGGTTTTTGTGCTGATAATCTGATAATTATCACATTGTGTGTTTTAACTATCAAAGATCTATGAATGGCATTGTATAGATAGGAGATAATTATCAGAAATTTATCAGGTTTCAAGAAATAAAAAAACATTTAATATCACTTAAAGCATGAATTGAACAAAAAAACAAGGAACAATAACCATGTAGGAATTAATGTGAAGTATATATTTGATTGTCTTTGTTGGTTTCGGGGAAAAGCATGATGTCCGATGAACATATCTGTCATGCACAAAGGTTTTTTCACATTTTCTAAAGACACACTCAGTGACTGTAAGTAAAGCTGTTTGAGAAGTTTTTAATTGTAATTAAAATCAACATATACCTCTTTTTATACTTTATACCTAAGATGATTGGCTACACAAACAACTCAAACTGATTTTTAATAATGCCAACAATCTGCCAAACTATTAGGCTATAATAAGGCAAATTTAATAATTAGATGTAAATAATTTGATTAGAGGTAGGTGTTATGCTGCCATCTTATGATAATTTTAATAATTATAATTAATTATAATTTAATGTTCTGGAAGAAAAGAATCAGT